ACATATTTTTCTGCTGCATGCTATTTATAGACGAAACAAAGAAGTTCCATCCTGAGTTACAAATATATTTAACGTTATGTTCGTTCGGAAACACCCTGTATAACAAACAAACTATAAAAATAATTTGTCGCAATAATATAATTTTGTATCTTTAACCGTTTCCCCAGCCTCAATTTATTGTCTTCCTTTTTTGTAAGATTTTATTTTTTATACGACTGTATTTTTTCTCATTTAAATGTTTTACAATTTAATAAGAATCCAATTAGACAGTGCTTTCAAAGTTAAAATTTAATTTAATATCTAAAACTTGTAATTAAATGAAGAAGACATTCACTGCCAGAGAATCTCTGTTTTTTTGACGTATGAACTCGTCTTTCCTTTCTAGTTTATTAGATCGTCTGAAGACTCTTAATCAAGCACAAATAAACAAAATGTGGAACTAGTATCAATTGTACTAGTGTTATTTTTTATTTCTTTCCTTATAAGTAAAATGTCAACGTGCTATTATTTCGACTCTTGCCTCTGCTCTCGTACTGAAAACATTCTAGCCCTGAAAAATCGCACACCTGATACTTATCCACTTCCAACCGAACTTTTAGTCACATCGATTAATTATGAATGCATCGATGTCTGACAAGCTTCCACTGTTGGATTTACACGTTTGAAGTTTACACGGTATGCGCAGCATACAAGGGGCGTAAATGTATAGCAAGTCTTAATTAGACGAGATCAATTAAGATCATATCTTGCTATAATAATTGGGAAAATATCTTATTAAATCAAGTTTCGGTCGTAAAATCGCAATTCTTGCCAATCATTTGCTGAATTAAATTCTTACCCACAGTTATTTTAATAAACTTCAAAATAGACGAGTGTAGTAGTAATTTTATTGCTCGGATTTATTAAATTCATTCTGAAAATGTACGAATCGATTATACTGTTAATAAATTCGCTGCTTAATATTCAGTTATTAAGTTATTGTTTTGCTTGGCGATAAAAAAAAAATCATTATCGAAATGGCCTTTTAATCGTTTTTAATAAATGGAATTTTTAATAAAGATGCTCTTGTTTAGCAGAAGCAGAATTGAAAGTAATTAGGTTTGTTTAATGTGTGTACAGTGGGCCAGAACGCTAATGACTGAACCGTTAGTATGAAACAAACAAAAAAATTAGTGAAACTGAATACAGCTCTGATTAATCTCATCTGATTTTTCTACCTCACACAATGTTTTAACTTATGTTGCGTCTTCTTTTAAAATTTATATTCTATTTTATTGCTCTTTATGGTAATGACTCCTAACGGTCTTTTTTTATACACGTTTCCTTTCGTTGGAATTATATAATTGTAAGCTTTATATTCAGTAAGTTGCTTCAAGTTTGTTATCTAATTATCAATATTCGTAGCTACAAGGTGGTCTTTAACACTGGTTGTACTCAGGTTTCTGCTAAATTATAGTAATGTTAGATTTAGGTCAAGAATTTATCGTATTAGTTTTGTAAAACGATGCCGGTAATGCTACTAACTTGGAACTTTTCTCTCTAACGAGGTGGAACCGTGTCATATTAACCACACACGCTTCATGGAAATTGTTATAAAGTAAGAAAGAAGGTTGGCCGCATAAGTGATGGTGTATAAAACCGGTACAGGATATGATCCGTGAAATCAATGATGATGATATTATCGGACTTTGATATTATCTAGCATTGAAAATAAATCTTAGTGAAAAAACAATACAAAAGTTTGGTATGTAATCTGTCTGCATTTTTGTCTGCCACTTTTGAATAAAAAGTTGATGTTCTCTGTAGCTAGTCTACCATCTATCTTTGTTGGTTATAAATTGTGCTGAACCTCACATCAAATGATGAACGAAAAAATTTAAATACAATAAACCTTTAGAATGTTATTATTTTTGTTTTACCCAAGATTATGTAAACATTAATCTACACAAAAATTTCTTCACATTGTTGAGAATTGCAAACATATTTTTAACAAGTAGTGCAAATTTTCTGTTTTTGATAGCATCGACAAAATATTCAACAATTTTATATTGTATTAATTTATAATTACAATAAGGAAAACTATAGAATAACATTATTAACGAAAAAAGCGTTTTCAGATGAGCAGATAACAGTGAAGTAATATGAGATTTTTGAGAAAAAGCAATAACCCAACTGAGCCTAATGTAATTAAACCCGAGTTTATGTGATCTATCATATGAAAGAATCTGTCATGACTTAATTTACTTTGACTTAATTAAACTAGACTTGAACTTACTCTAGCAGATTATATTTCGAGATTTTTTAAAGAAAGTTAATAAAAATGAGAAACACATCATCTATGCGGTATAACGATAGAAAGCAATTTTCGGTACTAGTTACCAGCATTTCTCCATTACAATGTTCATGTTCATTTATTTTTTTTACTTTGACTAGTTTGAGGTGCATAAAAGGATTCAAGTTTTAGCTGTAGTCACAAATTTCTGCTGTAGGTACATTAAATTTTCTAAGATGCTCACTTACTGAATTTTTCAGATTTATGTAGAACATATTTTACCACATAACATTGATCGAGAAAGTATAAATTTAATCACTGCTCAAATAAGTTAATTGGGCATTTTTTTAAAACATCCTGGCAAAGCAAAAACATAAAAAAACTTATAAATCAATCTAAAAAACAACAAAAATATACAGGTGTTCGGTCCAAGTCGCCCCGGCTGATAACACCTAAACTTACTTCTTTTTTTCAAAAAGTAAATATTTAAGTAATAATATTCATTCTTGGCTTTCTTAATAAATGTATTAATTTTTTTAGCACATCCGGTGTTGCGGGTAATGCTAGCAAATTTAGTTTTTCAAATGGAACACTTGTGTTTTTTCCTCCAAACAATAATCATTGACATGAAAAATACTGTAAACCACTATTTATTACATTTTGCGTAACACAGTACAATCAAAAAGCATTTTAAATCTTACAATTTTATAAGGAAATTGGTCGCGTAGCCTGATTTTTAATTTTAAAAGAAAGGTGTGAATAAAAAATGCTTGGCTACAGTTTAATTGTTAGTTTGACACATCTAATTTGTCAGTTGATGAGCGAGTTCTCTTATGGAAACTCTTGGATTTTCTTCAACTGATAACAGAACATTCAGATTTCTATTTTCTTGTTCTTCACAAAGAACCACAGGTTTTTAATTTTTAAAAAGCGAACCTATTCGTCTCAGTTGTTTTTCAATTCGACTAAATTTCCAACGATTTGGGTGAACTCTATTTGAGTATTTTTCTCTTATACTGTCTTTCAGCTTCCGCTCTAGGTTTATTGCACTTAAAAAACACTTCAAGCTTATCTACCAATTCGTCGTAATTAATATTATCTATGATTAAAGATCTCAATAAGATTTATTGACAAATTAGGCTTTGTCAAAATAACAAATAAACGGTATCCAAGCATACTGCTTTTTGCATGAATACCTTGACAAGTAAAATCCGCCTATGTTGCAAAATTTTCAATAAAATTCAAAAATTTAAATTGTTTTCTGAGTGCATTATGTAAAGTAAAATGTAATAAATAGTGGTTTTCCGTATTTTTCATGCCAATTATTATTGTTTCGAGCAAAAAACATAGGTGTTCCAATTGAAAAACTAAATTTGGTAGCATTTCCGGCTTCACAGGATATGCCAAAAAAATTTGATGCATTTACTAAGAAAACGAGGAATGAATAGTATTATTTAAAAATATAGTTTTTGAAAAAAAAAAGTAAGTTTAGGTGTTATCGGCCGGGGCGACTTGGACTGTATATGGATTGCATTGCAATGTTAGATTAATTTTGTCATAAATGCCATGGTAATGTTTATTTGTTATTTTATTGTTAATGCAAAAATATCTGCCCATCTACCTACTTCTGTCTTGTTGGAAACAATTCTTATTTTTACTAAATAAAAAATATTGTTCCATTATTGTTAGCTTAGCAGAGAAAACACTCTTAGTTTCAAGAGTATTCGAATGCTCATATTCACAACAAGTCCATACCATCATAGAATTATCATAATGCAAACTAGCAAAATTCGCACAAGTATGAATACTCATTGTATATCCTCTTGCTACTGCTTATATAAAACGAGAAACTCTCTTAAGAAGTACTGTTAAAGCAGGACTCAGCTTTCGATGACAGAACAAATATCCATTAATGTAAAGTTACAACCTTCCATTTCTCAGAGGAATAAAATACAAATTACTTTTCCTATTATACACAGTGGGGCGGTGCTTTCAATGACAGTACCTATACTTACCTGCAATTATAATTTTTTCATTTTATAATTAGACCAACATGGAAAGAAAATTGATAAATTGTCATTTTTTCCAAGTGTTGATGTTACCATAACTTTTAATATCGAACAAGTATCAATGACACTATTTCCAAGAACTAATTCATTGTAAATAGTGTAATGAAATGCGGTTTTTCGAGATTATAACTTACATAATCCCGTTTGACGTTTTTTTCAGAAAGTATCTATATAATAGTACCATCCGAATTTATTCGATTCTTATGCTAATAAGCTCCAGGTTCATGTTAATTAACGTGGTTCTGGTAAATAAATATATGAGGCTGCAACAAGACACAGTTAGCTGTATCTTCGAAAATTAGCACGTGATAACTGACCCAACAAAGAAAATATTTTATAGCCAGTCTTCAAAAATTGCTCATCATCACAAGAGCGGTTCCAGAGTGACATGTTGCAGAAATACAAGCTATCATGAATTTTATTATTTAAGCATTGAATCTTTTGTTGGTGATGACAGCAATCACCAAATTACCAGCGATAAAACTCCTAGTCACAATAATACAAGAGACCCATTTTGCAATGAAATAGTCCAGTCATGAGACTCTTAAGGAAGGCTTTGTTTCTCACTAATCAATAGTCTTGATGGTACCACCTTTGCCCAAACCCATCGCATCGTACCTTCCATCGATCGATATGTTATAGTACTTATCAAGACTCACCTTTCGCCGAACAAATCGCCAAGAAGAAGGTGAAAAACGGCAACACTTTCACTAACATTGTGGTTTCCGTTTGATCACAATATTTTGAGAAAGAATCACTCCGAGTGGTTTAAGAAACTATTTGAAAGTGAAATGGTCACAATGTTTGTGTCATTTCTTTGGCACGGTGCGAGTGGGTTGCTTGGCTTAAGTGACTGAGATCAAACTGACTGAGTGTGTTTAGCAGGTTTGGTGGGCTGTTCTCTCTCCACTCACCTGGTCATGCTGCTTTACCTCGCCTTAGTGTCTTTCTTGTGCGCCGATTGCCTACCTGCGACGTCTACAGAGCGGACTAGAAACAAACTTCAAAGGATTGTATGTGTGTAATGAGCCGCGGTGTTTCTATTTTCGAATGCAAAAAATGACAGTCTTCAGATGGAGAGACTTTAATGATAAAGCAGAACAAACAAACCTCTTATTCCTGCAACTCTTATAAAAGTTGACTGTACCCACTTCTAATATTTTATAACCTTGCTTAACAAAGTAGAAAACATTTTTATTTTGAACCAACAATTTTAGAAAACAATGTAGAAAATCTTTAATATGAAACAATCTAGTAACCAGTACACAGGGTGTTTGAGGATTGCGAACAAATATTTTAACCACTAATTGGACTCGTCAAAAGAAACAACTTTCGTTATTCCAACTTTTGTAGAAAGCACGTCATTTCTGAGTTAAAATTAAAAATAAATTGAGGCTGAAAACCCGCCCCCGCTTATGTCTTAATACAATGTTTACAATCATTCATAAGAAAAAACTTTGGAACGTTAACATCATAAAGCCAAAAGAAATTATCGCTACGTTAGGGTAAGTCAGTGAAAATGTTAGTGGGTCAATACTTGCTATTATAAAAAAATTGCTCGAAATGTGGTCATTCGTTGGCAATGCACACTTCTTGTACTTTTCGGGCTAGGGAAGCTTGCGTTCGCACACACAGCCCTTCGAAGGTATAAATTTGAGCTGCGTACACTAATTCACTAATTGTTTCATGTGAACCCCGAAAAAAACACACGTATTTAAATCTGGTGACCGCGGTGGTCATTGGCGATCAAACCATCTCTAGGAAAAATGATTGTCCAATCCATTGTTAACGACTTTTTCATAATCTGATAGAGCTTCACTTGTAAATACCACATGTGTCGCCAAGGGCACGTCTTTCACCAGATCGGACAACACATTTTCCAAAAAATCCAGATAAACGGCACTAGTTAAACGTTGAGGTAATATGTGAAGTCCAATTTGGTGATCTTCAATGATCGCTGCCCAAACATTTAGTGAAAATCGGTCTTGGAAGTGCGATGTCCATACACTAGTTAATTTGGCGTTTGAGTAGTTGGCCATAATGACTTGATTGACAATTTGATTTCAAATCACAATTCATCCGAAAGCGCATTAACGACTAACTAAACTGACACGTGTAAACAAGTGATAATTTTTTTGGACAAAAAGTTTCCTTTTTTCTGTATAAAAACTTTCACGGTCAACATTCAATGCAATTTATTTTCATTGATATTTTTACTTCCAACTAAGAAGGACAGACACACTGAACGGCTCGTGAAAATCATAGGAGGGAAATTGCAAAAATAAAATTTGTATACGGAATTTGTTTGGTCTTCAATCCGACTTTTCATAACAAATTCTCTTAGTGGTTAAAATATTTGCTCGCAATCCACAAACACCCTGTATAAGTAAGTAAAAAAATGACTGATACCAAAGCATATCATCATATCATATCATATCATATCATCATATCATCTAAGTGCAAAAAGATTAGTTTTATTTTATACAAAAACTACTCATTGTTGACATAATTAAATGTTTCATCTAAAGTCTGTTTTTTTGGAAATTACCAAGTCAAAATTTTGGTGAAAAAATTGGTAGCAACTTGTCTCCATAGCCACAAATTTTGTTTGCTCTGTGCTTTTGTCCCTAGAAATTTTGTTAACAACTTATGGTTATTTTTTCAAATTGAGATGTTTTTGACTTTTATGAATCTTGTGTGTCTGTTTGCTCTTTGAAAGCGCTATAATTGAATACCTGAGGACAGACATCATTGCCTAAGGTCTAAAGACAGAATTCAGTGCTAATAATTTTGATAGAAACACATCGCTAGTAAGTACAATGTTGTGGACAAAAATGAAATTCTTGTTGCAAAAACTTCGAAGAAAAAGAATGTTTATACGGAAAAAAGTTATTTAGCAAAAGATACAAGTAGGTCTTACGATGATTGGCAATAAATTTTGTGTAATTTATTGAAATGAGTTCAAAGTTGATGCATTTTATAAATTTTTCTTCAAGTTTTGTGTCAAAATTGTTACTTTTTCAACTTGTTCCTCAAAAACGATGCACAAGACACTAATTTAATTGCGTTCTTTCCGAGGTTCTTTCTCATTCATGTTTATTTTGTATTCTTGTCAATTTCTTCCTAAAAATTGAGAATGTTTAGCAAACCTGCATTACAAATTGCGCCTACATTTTAACGAACTCTTTTTCTAACTTCTTGCTTGCGAACTATTCGTTTCCAAATTCCTAAAAACTATTAGCGGTAACGAATTTGTTTCTTTTTTGGTGTTTCGTCTCTAAATTTTCTTACACGATTTTTTGTGTTGACGTTTAATGACATTGTTTTCAAATTAATTCAAAAAACCGGAACTGCCAACTTTCTTTATTAAAATTACCATGAATGAATTTACTAGTGGCAGTCGTTAAGACGGTTTGGCATTTCCATTAAGAAAAACAGACCTTAGGTTTTTATAGAGATAATAAAAAATACATAATTAAAAACATTCTTATTTTCTATTAATATTGTTTCTCTTGTTTCTCTTACAGAAAAAAATTGTTAAAACATAAAAACTGTTTGAAAGCAGAATTTACTTAATGCTTTCTTTTATTAACTTAACTTTCTTATGACATAGATGCGAAACAAGTATACAAATACTGAATTATTCAAATATGATCTGCTGTTTATTTTAAAAGGACCAGTAGTAGTAAACTAGTAAACAACAATAGATTAAAAAATTCCAGACATCTAAAAACCGTTTAAAAATTTGCAAAACAAAAAATTATTTGAATACATTACCTAAAACAACATTAACAATAAAATTCTAGAAATACAATATTGGGTTGTTAAATATTTATTACTTTTGTTTCTTAAGTTGTCTTAATAGCTGCATCACATGATATTAATTTTATGTCTTTTTTGTGTCATCTCTCATCTACTGACTAACTACATAAAAAACCCAAACTTCGAAAGCCGTGCCCAGTTTGTAATTTAGTAAAAGTCCCGTTAAATTTTACGACACTTTTATTAAAACTTCTTGAGGAGTGTTCTAAGTGCTTCCAAAGACACATCAAATAACAGTCAATGTAAAACAGTTTTTGTAAAATTGCTTAGTCATTTTTTTATAATTATTATTGACTCTTCTTTTTTATCAATAACATCCGGAGTTCTTAAGCGCGCCTCAAAGATCGCCCTGAGGGCCGATACTGTCACCTTAATCTTGACCTGCCGCAAACAAGCCTGCTAGTTAATAAATCGGTTTAATCAGATATTTTATGTGCTCTCAATAAATATTTTATCTTTGCTTAATTGCTACATTAGTTATTTTCGTGTGTGACGCAACTGTTGTTGAGAGTGACTTCATGTTTCATTTTGTCTAAAATAAAAAAAAGCAGGAGAATTGATTAATTGGGAGAATTGAAATAAAAACTTAACATTTGCTTCAAATAATTTTTATTTGCCAAAGTGATAGATTTCCGCATATTTACCAAGACTACCAATAAGATTAATCGACTTCAAGATCCCTAGTAATTGCTCTGTCGATTCTGATTACCTATCAAGAAAGCTCTCATTAACCCATCCAAACCCAATGGTCGACCACTTTTTACTTTTTCGGAGCAGATTCAAATTGACGACACTCTCGAGACAAAATAGTTTAATTTTTCAAATGTCTACTAAAGATTACTCCTTGTCCCAACGACTGCGATTTATTTTCCTCATAAACGAGGCAGTCTAGTAGGTATTTTTCAAGAGATCCATCAAAATTAATATATTATAAATGCATCACATCATGAACAGTTATGTAAAGTTATTAAATAAGTGACTTTATTAATAAACTGCTATTAAGATAATAATATATCGAATTTCCTACTGCTCCATCCTTGTAAATGAGAAAAGTTTTAATTACAAAAATTCTATCGTGTTGTCGTAGCCTTGTTTGAGCGCGAAACAGATAATTTACGACAACTATTAAATAAATAATTATTATATAGCAACTTTCTCAAGCTGTGAAGCCTGCAAAACCGTAAAATGATTTGGATCGATACAGATTAATAAATTTGATGCCAGTTAATAACCGCAATTTATGTCGTTTACAAAGATAAGAATAACTTTAATTGACATAATTTTATATTGATTTCGTTGGCTTATTGCCAGAGGTTGTAGCCTTAATCGATTAAGGATATTGTTTCTGTCTTTAAGAAATAAACAGTTATGCCAAAGAGTGAAATATTTATTTCTTGCGCTAGTTATTCAATGACCTGGATTTATCATGGTACAATTTTCCACGTTATTCTGAAATAAAAACCATACAGTTTCTGCAAATCTAATATTAAGAATACATTCTACAAGAAATTTACCGACGACTCGCGACTTTATTGTACATTTTAGAGCCAACGGCGGACTGGAGAGTCGTTAGACAAATCCTAGTTTAAACTACTATGATATAACAAGAGAGTATATGTATCTCTATCAAAAACTTTAAAAGAATTATTCTTTATCTACAAAGTAAATGGATAGATAATTCCTAAACATAAAACATTAAAAAATTTGCTAACACAAGTTTTCCAAATAGACACCTACAAATTGTTTACTGAATCGTTTTTTCAGGATAAAAATTAATGTTAAAAGTTTATAATACTGACGTGACAAGAATTCCATGGGAAAACATTACTAGTAAACATCCGAGAATACCGCTAGAAATCTATTTTACTGTGTCAAATGTGATTAATTATCGCATCATCGGTGACTTGATATCTATTAGGTTTGCTTTAATATGCATAAGACTTGTTAAGTAAATATTTAAATCATGTTTTTAAACAGAAAATTGCACATATATCGAAGAAACTGATATTAATAACACTGCATAAATTCCAATGACGTTTCCTCTTTCCAGTTTTTTTGGTTACT